GTGAATGAGTCTACCTCCAATCCTGATGCCATACTTCTCCTCATAGAGCCCAGCCTCCCTGATAATCTATTCTGTATAAGATTGAAAGATATGCAGATAGAATACATCCTTGATGCACACCTTTTCCAATTTTGAACCTTGCAGTATTTCCCTGCTCTGATCTGACGACTGCCTCATGGTCCAAGTATAGGTTTCGCATAAGCACAAATCAAATGTTCTGGGATTCCCATTCTTCTCAGAGTCAGCCACAGCTTGTTGTAATAATCCACACAGTAAAGTGCCTTTGCATATAATGAAACACAGATAGACATTCCTCTGGTACTCTCTGCTTTCAGCCAAGATCCATCTAACATTAGCTGTAATATCCCTAGTGCTACCACCTCTTCTGAATCCAGCCTGCATTTCAGGCAGTTTTCTATTGATGTGCTGTACCAGTCATTTTTGGTTACTAGTGAAAGAATATTGAGCATGGTAGGATTAGATTGAAGTCAAGGACCAGATCCATCATTTAATTTTATAAGTGATTTTTAACCCCTCTATCCATTTTCTCTTTTATAACTGACTTAGTCATCTCAGAAAATTATTATAAACAATATTTGAAATATCAGTTATATAATACCATTTTCTACTATGGAATTAAAGCTGTTATAGTGTTATGGATGTGCATAAATATTTCTAAACCTGTCATTTACAGTTAAAACAAGTAAAAAAGAACTATTGATTATGTGCCCTTTTGATCAGAATATTTTAAAGCTATCATGGTTTTTTTTAAAAAAAGGAGTGTGAAGGGCAGGTTTATGAGTAATGCTGTAACAGTTCTTATAAAAACTCTGTAAGCTTAGCTGTGTGAGGAAGGTGACAGGGATTTCATAGGAAATTAATTGTTTGTTTGTTTTTAATATAGGATCTGTTTGGAAAGTCAGACCCATACTTGGAATTCCACAAACAGACATCTGATGGAAACTGGCTAATGGTTCATCGAACAGAGGTAAATAGCTGTATGTGAGAAATAAGGTAGAGATTTCCTTTTGAATTAATCTCGGGATTTTTGTTTAGTCGTATATTTGTAAAAATACAGTCAGAGTTCATACTTTTGTGTAGTCAATGTGAGGTCAATACCATCATGTTTTTTTAAATCAGGAAATGTTTTCCTTCTAATTATTAATCTTTTTCTTTAAAAAAATTTTGAAAATTCTAAGCCCTGTTAAGTGCTGAAAAAAAAAAACCCCACTAAAATATATACCTGTGTACCCCTTATCTAGATTCACCAATGGTCATAAAAAATGACACACAAAAAATTGCCTTCCCTCTGTCTGTTTGTATCTTCTTTCCTCTGGCTCAAAACACAGGCACACTAATGCACACATGCATATACCTTCTTAGAGTCCAGAGACCTTGTAAGGCTTTAAATGCTACTGCAGAATCTCTTGAGAACAAGGATGAGCTTTGAGAAAATAACATCATCTAATACATGTCTTAGGGAGCTCTGGCAGCTTACTGGTAAGGAATTGCACTGCCAACACAAAGTTTGCTGTTTGACTCCACCAACTGCTCTTTAGGAGATCAATGGGCAGTCTCCTCCCATGCAATATTGCTTCTGAAAACTCACTGGAGACTCAACTATGGGTTGGTTCCAACTCAGTGGTACACAACAAGAATACATGATTTAGGAAGCTCTGGTGGTGTAGTCATTAGGGAGTTGTGCTGTTAACATCTCTGGCAGTTTGACTTTACCAGTGATTTGCAGGAGAAAGATAAGCAGTCTTTTCCAATGGAGGGTCAGCTATGAGTCAGTTCTGACTGACTCCACGGCAATGAGTTTTGAATACATGTTGTTAGTTGTTGCTTTTGAGTCGAGTATGACTCGTAACAACTGTGTGAACAACAAATCTGAATCATATCCTATCCTGTGCCAGCCTAAGCATTTCTGACATACTTGAGCCCATTGCTGCAGTCACTGTATCAATCCATCTAGTTGAGGACCTTCCTCTCTTGCCAGCCTTCCACCTTCCCAAGGCTAACTATATGACTTATCTTCAAATAAAGCAATTTTAGTTACTACATTTGACTACTGTACACCAGATATAGGAATTTTGTCTATCTTCCTTATGCCCTGTGCCATTGAATTTCTTTAATTTTCAAGACCATATTGGCTAACATGCTGTATTATTCTATTTCCCTATCATTACTGTTGTTATGTATCATCGAGTCAGAACTGACCCATAGGACGTTTTCAGAGGCAGTTAAATCTATGGGAGATTGCCCGTCCTTCTCCCAAGGAGTAGCTGGTGGATTTGAACGACATACCTTCAGGATTGCAGGGCAGCTTCTTACCACTAGGCCTCCAGTGCTCCCTTTCCCATCGTTAGATCCATATATAACATGTGTGTACACCTTCCTATGCATCGTCAGGAGCCCAAATTATCATATTGCCCAGGGATGATTAGGTTGTGTTTGGCTACTTTTCTTTGCTGTTAAGTTTGTCTAATTGATTATACTATTGACCACCAGACTTCTCATTCTAAAATCTGACTTTTCCTTTTTTTTCCCTTTAAAGTCTGTTTTAATTGTCCCATTGCCACAGTGCTTGTCAAAACCAGTTCTGATTAATCTCCTTTGTCAGTGTGTCCTTTGCCATCCCTATCACTCCTCCCTGAGAGAGATTTCACCTTGATTCATAAGGAAAAGGGGACGGCGTATTCTCTTGGCTACTTCCTGCTGAAAAGGGATGCTGTAGGTTTCAGGGTTAAGATCTTCTCTCACTACTCTAAAGGGCCCCTTTGGCAATTGGAAACATGTAGACTATTGTGGAGATAGATTTTGGAATTTAGGTGCACTGTTATCAATTGTCCTTAGCCATACATGTTCATATCCTTGAAGATGCATCATGGAACTGTTGCAGCCTAGAAGACACAAATT